GCAGCATCGGCGTCGCCCTTGCCCTTCACCTTTCACATTATGTTGGCCTGATGGGCGATATGTGGGGCGGCAGTAGCCACTAGGGGAAGAGTTGGGATATCCCGCTCATGTCACAGGGATCTATGATAGTTCTGTCAACATGGAATCTAATGATGCAAGTTGAGAATCATGAGCACAGGACATTCAAGCTAAAAGACGCAGCTTTCTCATAAAATATTCGGAGTGTCACTTAAAACACGAGCATGTATTCATCGTAATCAAGTTCCATTCCATTCCACTAACGCATGTGGATTGGTGGATACACATGGATCTAAACAAGACCATAGGTGCACCTGCCCCCATTTTCATAGAGCACCCAAAGCATGCCATGGAATCTAAAGTGGTCTTTGGATCCGATGACTAAAATTTAGGAGATATGTCGGAAGAATGTTGTATGGAATATTCGGATAATAATAAAAAACAAATTACATAATCCATCAGTACTCCACGAGACGAATTTTTTAAGCCTAATTAATCTGTCATTAACATATGTTTACTGTAGCACCACATTGTCAATTCATGGACTAATTAGGCTTAAAAGATTCGTCTCGTAAATTAGTCGCAAACTATGCAATTAGTTTCGTAATTGGTCTATATTTAATACTCCATACATATATCCAAACATTTAATAGAACAGCGACTAAAATTTAGGAGGGACAACCAAACACCACCTGATCCAGGGCCAATGTTTTGTTTTGACCTAGAAAGGAGCGCCCAGCAACTACGTGAAGTGGTCAGGAGGCTATCACGTCACTGGGAGCAAAAAAGCACTGATTGAACAAACGATTCAACTGCTCAAGGTCTGTTGCACAGCGAATGTCATTGCATTGCTAATCATTTGCACTGTAGTACATCCTTAGACAAGAGAAAGATGCCCCTACAATGCACAAGGCTAGCACCGCTATCAATTCAACAAAATTGGGGCGGCATGGTGTCAGTTAGCTCCTGCCTCCTATTGAGTCGCCAAAAGCAAAAGAGACTCACTAGCGTTATACCTGGCCATGCAGCCCGCGGGCTCGTGGCCCGGCAATTTGGCCCGGCCCAAGCACGGAACGGCCTGGTGGCCATCAGGCCCGGGCCGACCCACCCGGCGACCAGGGCGTGCTGGGCGCCACCTAGGCTCCCAGCGCACGGGCATGGCTCGTGAAAGAGGCGGCCCGACCCGATGAGCGGCCCACCCCACGGCCGCCTCTCCGCCGCCGCGACGACAGTATATATCTTGCCCCCCGCCCCCATCCCTAATCCCACTCCACTCCCGCTTTCATGATCGCGATCGTTTGCCTCGCGCTCGCTCTCGATTCGCCGCCTGGAGCTCGCCGCCACTCGCCTTGAGCTCGCCGCCCTGCTCTGCCCCCTTCCCCCCATCCCTAACCCCTAATCCCATCTCCACTCCCGCTTTCGCGATCGCGGTCGTCTCGTCTCGCTTCGCTCTCTCGATCCATTGCTGGAGCTCGCCGCCACTCGTCGGCCTGCTCCCGGTGACCTCGTCGTGCTTCGTCCACCTCGACCTGAGTTCGCTAACCATCTCATCCCTCCTTTCCCTTCCTATCCCCTCTTCCCCCCTCGTCCGGTGTACCATGTGAGTTCATCGTGCCTGTCTGTCCTTCCGCCGCCGCTCGCCGTCGTTGTAACTGTTGTCTGTCTCCTCTAGCTACCTCCCTAGCCTCTTCTCCGGCACTGGGCTCTGGTGGCGTAGGTTAGGGTTAACCCTAACCCTAACCTTAGATCTGTGTTGTGTCTGTCCATCTTTCACTCACTCACTGACTCACCCCTGTTCTTCTGTTCTGTCCTCTGTTCTTCGTAGGTTGGTAGTGCCTGACGCCGCATCTTCCTCCTCTGGAGGCGCCATGGCTAGGCCGCCAGCGCCAAAGCGCCAGCGTCCACCGTTGAGGGACAGTGTTGGAGCTGGAGGTCAGGGGACTCAGGGCCGGGGCCGGTCGTCCGGCCCTTCCTCGGCTAGGGTCACCATGCCGGTGGTGGCGGATGTCTATTCCCACCTAGCCGATGGCGAGCACCCCGAGCCTGAGGAGGAGCTAGAAATCGAGGACGACGACGACATCGGTGAGGATGCCCGCGGGCTGTTCGGCATCGATCTCGGTGATGGCACCCATCCGATTGATCTCGATGCCGGCGACGGCGACGGTGGGGTGGCAGCCTCGACCGACACTCATGGTACCTCATCGACTGGTGGTACTGGTAAGCTCATATCTCCTGTTTGGGAGGATTTCACTGAGATTAAGGAAGGTAACATAAGAGTTGCTACCATCTGTAAAATGTGTGGTAAGAGGTATTCTGGCACTGGTCATTTGAAACGGCACTAGAAATCATGTAAGGCAAAACATGATAATGATAAGAGGGTCTAGTCTAGGCTTGCTCTGAATGCTGATGGTTTGCATAACTGGGTGTATGACCCTGCTGTTGCTCGTACCGAGTTGTGCCGGTTGATTGCTAGGCTGGACCTTCCATTAGGCATAGGTGAGACACAGTCCTGGGAGGATTACATTAAGCGTGCTCATAACCCTATATTTGAAAAGGTTTCTAGGCAGACCACTACTAGAGATATGGGCAAAATGTTTGCTGATCAACGTTCTTTGCTTATGAATTCATTGTTGCCTGTTTGCTCATCTGTTTCTTTGACATCTGACATTTGGTCTAGTAATGCTAAGTAGGACTATATTTCTGTTGTTGGTCATTATGTTAGTGCTGATTGGGCGTTGCAGAAAAAAGTTGTTGGTTTTAGGCTAATTGAGGTGTCACATTCTGATGAAAACATTGCTGAAAAAATAGCTGATGTGGTTGAGGAGTTTGGTTTAATTGATAAGATCTTTGCTGTCACTCTAGACAATGCTTCATCTAATTCTAAGGCTTATGATATCTTGCAACCTGTCTTCTTTGGTTACTTGGGTTCTTATCCTGCACCTACACGTGATGATCCTCATAAGGTTAAGTATTTGCTTGTGCATCAGCGTTGTGCCTGTCATATCATTAATTTGATTGTTAAATCTGGCTTGAAGAGATTGAAACCTTTTACTGAAAATTTCAGAACTGCAATAAACTTTTTGAATTCCTCTAATCAAAGAATTGCATTGTTCAAAAACTACTGTATTGCTCAGAGTATAAGACCTAGAAAATTTGGCTTGGATATGGATGTTAGATGAAATTCCACCTATTTAATGCTTAAACATTTGCTGCCATACAAGGAAGTCTTTTCTGTGTGGCTTAACTCTAATTATGGTTTAGAATTGTTGACTGCACAGCATTGGTATGTTGCTGAACAGATAATGGTGTTCCTAGAACTCTTTTATGATTCTACTGTTGTTCTGTCTGGTGTTTATTATCCCACAGCTCCACTTGTTTTGCACCATATTCTTGACATTGCTGAAAATTTGCATAAAGCTGAAAGAGATCAAAATTTTAGAATGATTGCTTATCCTATGAAGCTTAAATTTCTTAAATATTGGGAGAAAATTCCACTGCTTTATTCATATGCATTCATTCTTATCCTAGAGCTAAGATGAAAGGATTCTTTAATGTGCTTGAACTACTTGCTCAACATACTGGATCCACTTATAGTTCATAGTATGCTGATGTGAAAGATGAAATGTACAGATTATTCAACAAGTATGAGCAGAAATTTGATGGTGCGGCTAGGTCTCAAAGGGTTTCACAGCCTTCAGCACATTCTGGTAAGAGAAAGAAGACATGGGGATAGATCTTTGGAGGCCCTGGTGCATCCCCTGGCTGTTCCCTCTCATCTTCATCTACTCCGGCTGGAGTTGGTGTTAGTAAGCTCTCAGCTTATTTGGACAGTAACCCTATCATATGTTATGAGAAATCCTTTGACATACTGCTCTGGTGGCGTGACCACAAGCTAACCTATCCAATCCTATCTATTATGGCTCGAGATATCATGTCTGTTCCTGTACCTACTGTCTCTTCCGAGTCTTGTTTCATTTTGCCAGCCAGGATACTCGAAGACCGGCGGCGGCGCTTGTTGCCTGAGCATGTGGAGATGCTCACCTGCATAAAGGACTGGGAGCAAGGAGTAAGAAGAGAACAACATGCACCTGAGGACGTGGACCTGGAGGAGGCATTCAAGAACCTGTTCCTGGACGAAGAAGGCGAAGGCAGCGGCAGCGACGGTACTGCTGGTGCTGGATAGTGATGACTGATGAAGAAGGAGAACTGGAGAGGTAGTGAATCTTTCCTGTTTCCTCTTTCCTGATTAGATCATACTGATGGCAAAAGAATGACATATTGACATGAATTCTGTACAATTTTGCATGTACTTTTGGTCTTTTGCTGTGACTGAGTGAGTGTGAAATGAGAGTGGACTGTGAAGTGGACTCACTAAGTCACTAGGACTTTGCCACTTTGGTTGACTTTTGTAATAAGACACTACTACTAAGACTTTGACTTTTTGAGCTGGCTGCACTCTTTTTTTTTCTTTCTAGGGTTTCTCACAAGGGTGAGTTTTACCTAGAAAGGTTTTTAATGAGACAGCATTGCATAAAACAGCTCCTTTTGATCATCATTTTCATATAACATTGTCTCTTTGTCTTTTCTCTTGTGTTGTGATTTGTGATTGTGTGGTACTGTGGTGAATGTGAATCTGTGAGCTTTTGTGAAAATAGCGATGAAAATGACGGAATTTTGTTCAAAACTGGTGAAAATGAAGAAGTGGTTCAAACACTCGGTGAAAATCTGGTGAAAATGATATGTTTTTTGGTTGTCGGGCTGTGGGCCGGCACGGCACGGGGAAAATGGCCGTACCCAACGGGCGGCACGGCACGGTCAGACGGCCCACGGGCCGTGCCATGGGCCGTAGGCCAGGCCTAAAGCCCGTGGAGGCACGGCACGGCAGGCACGACGGCCCGTCGAGGCAAGACCCCCATCAGGCCGGCACGGCCCGTTGGCCATCTATAACTAGCGTCGACTAGCTAAATTAGATCTTCAGCTGATTAGTTTAGTTGGGTGGCGATTGCCTCTCCAGAGATCCGAGATATACCGAAGTTCCTATGCTTTCCGTCTGCCTTGTTGATGAGCTTGAAGCCCCTCGAAGGAAGCTGATTTATGAGAAGGGTTTCCAGCTGGCAGGCAACGCTCTTGCCAGGAACCAAGATGTATAATATCGTAGCATCCTGCATGCCTTCCTTCGATCTGTGGGCATGAAGGCGCCCCAGAAGATCATCCGTCTTTGGCAGAAAAGGATCTCTGTCAATGTCAACATTTTATGGGCCCCACAGAGTAACATCTGAGATACTGAATAACGCAGAAAAATATGATCGACAGTTTACCTGTCCAACATAAAGCTTGTTGTCGCTTCTGATAATCACATAGATGCTAGACCTGCCAACAGTGGAAGGTGGTGGTTGCTCTCTAGCACCTACAGCAACGCAGACCACCTCAACCAGTTCTGGGATGCTACTTTTATTGTAAAGATTCAACAGTTTTTTCTTGCATATCATAGTAACAGCACTCTCAACTTCCCTCCGCAGTGGCTCAAAGATACCAGGCAGAATTTCTAGTCTGCTTTTCAGAGATCCAGGCTTCTCAACCAAGCCATTTACAATGGGGCTGCCATTAGGAGACTCATTGTGCACCATTGATGCTGTCTGCTTGTTATTCGTACTCATAGTCAAATATAGCTCCTCAGCCCTTCTGATTATCAAGTCAGGCATGCCTTCCCTCCTGGCTGTTTGAAAAGCAAGGCTTTCTCTACAGATGCCATCCATCAGTCTCCATGTTGGATGAATGCACCCATCGACCACTTCAGTTCCCATAGCTTTGAAATCAGTGTTGCTGAGTGAGAGAGGCAGGTCAAAAATCCCATGCAGGTGAGTTGATATGATGCCTAGGCAGCCAACGTTATCAAGTCTTTCAATGATGCTACCAGCTATACAGGTTCCTTTTGCAGTTTCTGTGCCCCTACATATTTCATCAATCAGAACAAGACTCCTAGCAGTAGCTCGGCTGACTAAAGCACGTATCTCCGACATTTCAACCTGCGACAGGAAATCAAAACAAAATATTTACTCCACAGTTTATGTTAGAACAGTAGAAGCCACAAATAAAAACAATGATCAAGAATCAAGAAATAAATAATCAATCATATGTAAAGTGGAAGCCAAATGGTTAATACGACATAATGAGTTATTTCATCCAAGTCACAAAATATAAGAACAGAGATAAGCGCAGTTCAAGTTAAAAAAAAAACATGAAATAGTTAACGAATGTGTTGGAGAATGAGTGTACCCAATTGGTGGAAAAGGAAATAAGGTTGGACAACTATAAAGCACCAAAAATAACCAACCGGATCATTGGAGGTCTTAGGCTTTTCCATTTCATTTTTTGTTTGTAAAGGGGCACATTTGTTCACCTAAAACCCTGGTGTGTGTTTCAGAGGGGTTGGTTTTAGGCCTTCCCTTTGTTTCTTATTTCTCTTAATGAAATAACATGCAGCTCTCCTGCGTTGTTGAGATAAACATTAACAAAATTTCAGCAGTTCAAAACTTCAAATTCCATTCATGGAAATAACTAAGATGTTGCAATGTGAACAGCATCGACATCCATTTGAAAATATAACATATCAATGGCACAAATTGGACAGAAGAAATGCAAAACTACAAAATGAGCACCTGAAATGAACTTTTCCCGTCGGCTGGGCTATCATAGGCTTTCATATGCAGCATAATGGAATCAAAATGTGGGATTACAGCTGAAGTTGAAGGTACCATCAGGCCACATATTCCAAGTAGCGCAGCTGCACAGACTGATCGCAACATACTAGATTTACCACCACCATTTGGGCCAGTAAGAACAAATAAAGAGTGCATGTGGACATCATTCAATATCGCATTTCCTTGATTAACATCTTCTTAGGAATAGTATGAAGAATATACAGAGTCCATGAAAGGAAGATCAATGACTCATATAAATTACTTAATGGAAAATGTCCCGAAGAAACCCAACGAGAGACTAAAAATCCTGTTATAGAGAAAAAAGTAGCTAACATAGGGGCCTACGCTAAGGTCGGCCAAAATATGGACACCCGAAGGGCCCGGCGCGCACAATCCTATCCTATCTGAGCCCGTCATTGCATGCACTTCGGACAGCCGTCCGTAGCATCATAAAGAGCACCTCCCTTTCGAGGTACCCAAATGGAACGGTCTTTATTTGTGTTGTTGGTTGGTCTTTCTCAACGTGGTCTATAGCACGAAAAACCATTCTTTACAAGATAGGGCCGTTCACATGAAAGAAAAGCTAAAATCCATTCTTCATGGTCGGGCGCATTTCTCCAAATCCTCCAGGATCACAAGTGGAACGCTAAGCAAGGGTGGGGAGGCTGCGAGCTCCGCGTCGAACAGAAAGAAGCAAGCAGGGGGTGTTGCCGTAGCGCGCCCCGGAGAGCAAGCGTAGGCAACCAAACAAAAAAAGGCTACAAAAGTAGCTAGCTAGCGTTTTTAAGCTGGCTGCCTTTTCTAGCGCGCGTACTCTTCTGTGGAGTCGCACGGAACGAGCCTTGTCTTCCCTCCAACGACTAGCTCCCTTTTCTTGTTCCGGTCACCCTTCTCTTGCCGTGGAAGGACTTTTGCCTGTGGTGTGGTCCAACCCGTGGGCGGAGTCGCCCTCATCCCCTCATTGCTCAGTGCTCCCTGCAGCTTCGCAGGGCTTTACCCGCGTGGACGCGGGCTTCTATAAGAGAATGAAAAGCTCTCTCTTTACAATAAAACGCGAACTGCGCGGAGCCCACCCTTTTTCGTTTTCTGCCGCCACTGGGTGGCCGCTGGGGAAACACAGCCCGGCCGCCTCTCGGGAAAGGGGGGGTGGGGGATGGGCCTACCTATCCCGAGGGAGCAGTTGAGAGGTTCCATATGCCGAGCCGAAGGGCAGAACTTCAGTGCGTGATCGTAGTATGTCACCTCGTCTCGTCCTCGCAGCATCGAAGAGTACCTATGCACTATGTTCCGGTTCACTGATAAGGAAGATAGAGTTGGGGTGGGGGTCTACGATGTGATACTATAGTATGCCCCGGGGAGAAAGATGCGCAACTCAAAACGGAAGCAGGAATACACAAGTAAAATCAAGGTTTGTAAGAAGAAAATATTGTAAGAAAGGGACATGTCATCTGGAAAATGTATTTAGTATAAATGGCACAGCTCAAGCCTGGCATCTTCTAAACATGGCTGGTCGAACAAAACTATGTCAATTCTTATTAACCAAAAATAAGTACAATAATTTGTAGTTGACAATTTATTGCCAGGTCAACAAAAATTTGCAGCTCCTATAGCACACTGAAGGGAAATTTGCTAGCCACTAGACTGACTCGTGGTCGACAATAAAACCCAAAGTTCAAAAAGGCGCTAGGCGCTCCCTAGGCGGTGACCCATAGACTAGAGCCTAGGCGGGCCTAGGTGAGCCTAGGCGTTTACCTAGGCGGTAGTTAATATATGCATAAATACTTAAAAGAAAAGGAAGAAATAGCAGATCAGTGGTGGAGAAAGAAGAGAAGGCCCAATAACGGCCTAAGTCTCCCCAAGTCTGGGCCAATGTTTTCAAGTCGTCCAGTCGAACCTAGTCGCCATGGGACCGACCAGGAGACTAATCGTGATTAGTCATCGACCAGGCCGATTAGTCGAGCCTAGTCGACCCCTGGTCGTCCTATATATCAGGACATATATACCTACTATATATATATATACCTATATATACTATATAGTATACACAATAAAGCAAGCATCAAGACTACATTAGTGTTTAGCTGGTGACTTACTTGTGGGAGTTGTTTTCTTCTCTTTTCTGCCATGTCCAGAGGTCCATATTCCTGTCCCAAACTCCATTTCTTTGCTGACTTGCTGCTGGAAGCCTAAAATACCAAAGAAGACCATAATTAGCAACACTAATGTAGTCTTGATCTTGACACAGCTCAACAGCAGCACTGCTGCATTAGCAAGCACTGCTACAGTAGCAAATAACTAGCATTTAGCAGTTAGCACATAGCAGACCATAGCAGCCACACAGCCAGCATATTACATAACCAAACAAGTTCAGTACACATAAGCTAAAGTGTTCAACACAGACTCACAAACATTGACATTTAACAGTCCCCAACAAAAGTAGGCAACTAGCCATCTAATTAAGCAAATCAACATTAAAATTGAAGCCTCCATCTCCATCTCCAGTTGGTCCATCTCCAGTTTCAGTTGGTGCAGATTCTTCATCCTCCTCCATTGCTATTGCTGAATCTACATGCTGATCTTGGTCTTCATCATCAACTTCATCAATATCTTGAGTCACTGTGTTCCTTGGATAGGGCCCCAAATCTTCCCCCCTTCCTACTTCCAAAAAAAATAAAAAAAATTCCCCGCACCAACTCCCTCCTGCGCGTCTTTTTTTCATCCTCTCCTGCGCCCTGTTCCCTCACACAATGCCGCCACTGAGGCCGGCCTACCCCTCCCCGTCAAGGTCCTCCCCACCTGCCGCACCGCCACCAAGGCCAAGCCCGCCCCTCCCTGTCGAGGTTCGCCTCCCAGCAAGGCCCTCATCCCTGGCCTCCTCCCCAGCGAGCCCCTCATCCCTGGCGAGGGACCGGAGGGGCATAGGAGAGGGGAAATTAATAAAAAAATAGTAATGTAACTAACAAGTAGGTCCCAAAAAAGTAGGGACCCTAATTTGAGGGCTAAGGAGTTCAGCCCAGTAAACAAGGCCCTCAAAAGTAGGAGAAACCCTCAAATCACAAGTAGGGACCCTGTTTTAGGGGCCATTGTTGGAGCCATCCCCCGTTAAGCTGGGTTCATTTTTTGGTAAATAAGACTTTATGTCGTGGGTGAATGTATTTGAGGACAGCAAAGAAAACAAACAATTAATACATCATCTTGTTGTGGACTTTGATGATAGTTAACAATAAACAAGTATGCATCACAAGGACGAACAATCATGCACAATATGACACAGTTATATACATGAAAAAACTTATGAAACTCCAGACCAACCGCTCCTGAATCTACCACCCAAGTATTCCCTATTATCAAATAATGGGTGCAAGGAGTTCTCTCCAGAGGACTTCTGGATACGTAACAACATCAATAAGGTAGGTACAACCTTGATAAAACAGCAGTAGCAACAGGCCAAAATAAGCACGTTGTATTCAAGACTCATATTGAAGAGCCTATGCACATACCAAAGAGTACTGTATCAACATTTTGAAACAGTAACCATATCAAATATCACCCATGCCCCAGAAGAAAATAAAAGTGCTTAGCACAATTTCTAAAATTGTATACAATAGATGTGCTATTACCCAGAAATAAATCGAGTTTTCTGGGCACGGGCTTGTGTTGGGCCTTGAATTTCCTCAACTATGCACTGCAAGATTAAATTATCAGACAAAATAACTTAAAATGTCAACAACAAAATTAACATCAGGATGTTGAGTGGTTAAAGCTTACTTAAAATGCAAAAAATAATTGAAACAAAATCAACATGCATAATCTGCACTGCATAGTTAAAGACTGCTCATAACTGAATAATTTGTAAGAGGAATGGCAGAAATATTTGAGCAATGTCACCCATAGGCAACCCAGCACATTCACAATGTATGTTAATGGTCATTCCACATTAACTTTTATAAAAATATACAATATATCAGAGCAAATCATTTGTGAAAGCTCTTTCAATTATCTGACAAGATTTTCTTCTTAATAAAATGACATGCAGTTTCTCCTGCGTTGTTTGAGAAAAAAATATCTAACAAGAAATTTCTGACACGCCTTCTGAATTTCTCCCATGCAATGAGTGAAAAAAGAAGTACAAGACAATCAACTAATTGCATCCTGACTGTTGTATAAAACCCGAATAAGCTTGCCACTACAACTCCAGACAAGCTTGCCACAGCTCCTACAGTTGCAGAGCACTTATGGGTTGTTGGAACAGTTATTTTAGTATTTTTAGAATTTACAGAGGCATTTACATTCATATGTTACAGCCAACAATGAGTATCGATGAATGCATTGTGTCAGGCAAATGGGAAATGACTTTACCACAGAATAACCACATCGAGTCAAATCATCTAATGTCTGCCGTAAATTCTGCAAGTGAAATTCTTCAGTTACTTCATCATACTACTCCAAATACTAATACATTGGTGACTCTCTAAGAACTTTGGTAGCAAATAAAAAATACAGAGCAGAAAAATGCTATACAATAGCATACCACGACTGGACACCCAGCTTTAGGAATACTGTCAGAACGCAAACCTTCAAAAGGATTTAAGCCTGCACGCTCTACGAGAATACATGCATCAAAACCGATAGCTTCATAGAAATCTCCTACCTGAGTAACAAAATCATCGAATATGATAAATTGTTATTATTTCCATTCCAGGATCATAAAAACAATTCAAAACATTAATGATAGTTGATAAAAGGTCAATGTACTTAAATAAACTTCACATCTTGGATCGGAGAGAATAAATTAACAACAACAGAGAGCAATATAATACTTCTGGATGCTATTCTGATAAAATGCTGAAAGTGAGTCCAATTATATTGAGGGCTGAGGTAAAACAAATAGAATGTATAGTTCCATGCACCTCTAGTCGCCTGAATGCAACTACATGTGAGATGGCAAATACCTAGCAAAGTGCATATAGCACGGTATCACATGTCACCCAGATCCCTGCTACAGGTAGCATAGATGAGATGATTATAACAAGGAATGTCGGGTTTGGCAGCGTTTAGATCTTATTTTCCCTTCCACTAAAAGTCTATGGAATACTGGATTTTTATTCAGAGAATCATCAAAAACATAAAATTTAATGGAACGTTAGATTGTAACATACTCTGCAAAGTAGAACCTCACGAGGAAATTTTGATTTAAATAGTAAAATCTCCATGTTCAGGGTTCCATCTTTCAAGCTGAAAAAAAAGTCCGGTATTGTGTCAGTGATAACATCATGTGAACCTTTGAGATAGAAAGAAAAAGAGCATAATTATGTTAGCCGTGCACAAAGCATATGCCTCACCTTCCATTTCTTAAATTTGGATCCAACCCTAATATATTCGAATACACAAGCCTCTGAGTCAATTGTATGGATGATGGTTTTCTGCACCTCTCCATTTTCTGAAAACATCAGATAGTATAGAATCAATAGTTCAATACATAACAGAAGAAACAGCCTTGGTGCATGGGGTAGAGATATCAGCTGTTTGCAAAAACCTCTTTCCACCACATGATATGCGACAGCATGCTTTCATCACAATATTCTCCCTGTTTGTTAGCTTTCCTAGACGCCATTGAAATGCCCCGTGAGACCTTCCTTGGTTTGGACCAAGCCCTCCGGTCGAATAGCCTGGAGCAAAGGATCATCAAGATTATGAGGCAATGTAAATGGGTCATGGTGCAATACAAAGTGGTTTCAGGTACATGGGGCAACAATTTGCCACCTATCAAGTCACATTACACATCTGTGCCATACCAAACTGAATTGCATGTTCCTTATTAAGCTACGAGGATCAATATAAATACAATTCAAATTTTATGCCAATGATCCAAACACGGACACTGCTACTTTAGTCAGAGTTTCAGGCCGCTCTAATCAGGCAGTAATCAAGTTAGTTCTCGGTTTCCAATGGAACCACGTTCTTTTAGCGATTCGCTCAAAGCATCCACGAAGTCGCTTAAAACCAGCTCAATGCAGTGGCCGCACTCTGAATCCGCACCAATGCCGTCGGATTGCGGGGTTCATGCTCAACGGCGTCCACAACCAAAAAAGAAGAGAAACCCCCCGGAAAAACAATCCCCTCACAGGAGGGGATAAACAGACTGAAACGCGCCCAGTGCCCCAGAGATAGGGTCATAGGGAGACAGCGAAGCTCACAGCATGGGAAGAGGGGAGCAACGCGGGCGGTGGCGCCGGAGGATGGAGTCGGCGAGCGGGAGCCACCGCGGCGTGGTGGCCAAGAGCGAGCTCACGAGCACCCGGTGCATGGCGCCGGCGCGGAAGAACAACGGGGGGCTAGTGCTTGGAGGCGCGGGTCTCCGCGACGGCGTCGTGTCCACGTTGGAACTGAACTGGAATGGGAGGCGGCGTGGGTCGTGGGAAGTGGAGGGCGAGAGAGGCGGAGCGGAGGGGGAGAGGTGGGGTTTTTCAGGCGTGTCGGGGCGCGGGCGGCAGTGAAGGAGGCGGACTGGGGGAACCGCGGAGGCCGCCAAGGCCGGGGAGGGGGAGGTTCCTGTCGCACGTTTCTCGGGGTAGTGCGCACGCCTTTCGACTCTCGTCTTGCGGTTGACTGGTTGGGCCCGCTGGGGTCACGGACTCACGGTTCCCGGGCGCTGGCAGGCCCAGGAGGCAGGAGCGTTTTGCGTTCTCAGTTCTGAGAGTTCTGACTTCTGACTTCTGAGACGGTCCTGTCTTTATGTTTGTTTCCAAAAATTAGTCAAAAATTATTTCAAAAAAAATAGTCAAAAATCATTTTCGTCTCTAGATGTCGTCTGATTTTCCAATCTCGAAATATAAAGACAGATAACCAGCCCTGTCCAAAAAGCATCATACACGTAGATCAGCTAAGTTTGAGGCATCCAGCCCTCATCCGAGTCTACATGGCGCTGCAGGCTACACGCCACGCTCGTGCGTTGGGCATGCTCTCAAATACTAGGCAAATCACAATCCTAGCCACGAACTGTGCCTAGCTCTGGTTAGGTTCCTACCTGTCCACACGGTTCTTTCAGAATTTAACTGCGTTATGGTTCCAGCGGCAGGTGACGTTTTCATCAACGGTAAGGTGCTTGTGGTGACTTCATTAATCTTGAGATATGCCGTGATAGGTGACGTTCACGTCAACAAAGGCGCCTGTGGTGACTTCGTCAATCTTGAGATGTGTTGGCATAATCTTTCGGAGGTGCCCATAGTGATAGGGTTTACGTACGTGTGTTTATAGGGGTGAGTATGTGTACGTGTTGAGTGTCTACGTCTATACTTATGTAATTCAAAAAAAATTCACAATCCTAGCCGGTTTTGAGGGTGGTTTTAACCTCGCTTCCATATGTGACGTCACGTTAGTTTTAATGAGATAAATTAAACTACATTAATAATTTAAGGACCAAATAGTCTTAAAATTATACATATATTTGTTTTTTAAAAATATCCATTACTTTTTTTTCAAAAAATGGCTAATATTTAAATGGAATTAAAAATACTAAAACAACATGGTTTAATGTTAATATATAAATTTTTTTAGCTAAAAATATTTTCTAAGATCATACTCTATCTTGTGGCGCCTACCTTAAAGTTATTTGGATCTTTGATGATCTCCTTTTTTTGTGTTTATTTGCTAGTATATGCTCTCCTTTTCTAGTTGATAGGCCGTACTGACTTCGACGAAACACAAGTGTCGTTGATCTTGATCCGATCTATGGTCATGTTTAGTGTAGACACAATGGACGAATACAAGTCCAAAGAAAATGTGCTATATGTATATTGCGCTAATCTTATATATCCGTAAAAGTGTTGATGAGATGTGAGTAAGGATGGCAACGGATCGGGTTTGGGGCGGATATTCGCGGGTTTCGGGTTCTGCGGGTTCGAGTTTGGGGATGGTTTTTCACCTACGGTTTTCGAGTTCGGGGCCCCGAAACTAATCGGGTTCGATTTCGGGTTCGGTTTTCCACCCGTGGATATCCAATGGATATCCGAAATAAATCATTTGGAATTAAAACTCATGTTTTATAATATACTAATAATAATTTGTTTACTTAGATTATTAAATTTATTTAAAGTTGACTCATGAAAATATTTATTATTTGTTGCCTCTTGTTTATACATGTGAATATGTGTATATATATCCGCGGGTTTCGGGTATCCGCGTGTTTGGTTTTGGTGATGGATTTCCACCCGAATCGGTTTTCGGGGCGGATTCGGGTTTCGGTTTTGGGTGCACGGAGACTCCACTCGATCCGAACCCGACCCGTTGCCATTCTTAGATGTGAGTTGAGTTGGCTAAAAAAAAGTCCATTTGAATAAAACATAGATATTTTTGTCACTATTCACTATGCCAGCTCTTGATCAAGCTACAGTGTTCATACCAAATAGGAAGAAGTGTATGAGGTGGTTATATGACACTTGTGTTTCGTCAAAATCATTTGGCCTTCTACCGATTGTTAGCGTCGACCGGCAGACAAGAGCATATACTAGCAAATAATTGTAAAAACAAGATCAAGAGAAAAAAGATCAAAAATAGGCTATATAGGCTCCGTTCGTTTGGCTGAAAAAACAAGCCAAAACACTGTTCTGGCTGAATTGTTGTGAGAGAAAAATACTGTTCCAGCTGAAAAAAGAAGCCGAACAAGCCGAATTTTAAGACAAGCGAACGCGGCTGAGCTGGATTATTTATTGTTCATGCTAAAAAACACTATTTATACTGGAATGTTGTGAGAGAAAAACACTGCTTCATCTGAAAAAATAAGTCGAACAAGCCGGCTTGTAGCTCAAACGATCACTCTCGGTATTTCATTATTCCAGGACATCCCTCACCGTCGTCAACCCCACTGGTCTGCTCCACCCCACCCTACTCTACGTTCGCCATGTTCGCTAGGATTAAAGTCATACTTTTTCAGTCAACGAACAGTATTTTTCTCTCATAATAAATCAGTGAAACAATATTTTTAGTCATAGCTTATCAGCCGAACTACATGGCACTTAACCTTCGGGTCACTCGTCCTCACTTTATGGGCGTCGGACATTGTGCACTCCTAAAAACCTGAAACACAAACCCGAATCCTTGCCGCTGCTGCCCACCACCGCTGACCGACGGTGACCTCGCTGCCCCCCACTCCAACCCCCTATCAATGTCGAAGAGACATAAACTTAGCTTGAAACCCATGGAATACTCAATGGCCTATAAACTGATGGAGCCAAACTAGTTGGAGGGGGTAACCACGGGTGAGACGAAACCGTTTCTAAATGAATCATTTTTTTTGTGTGTGTGTGCATTCTGATTTACAGCGAGTGTGACGCACCCAGTATACATGTCTGAAAGAAGATGGCCAATACACATGATGCCTTTGATTTTACGTCGGTGTGTTACTATACAATGCAAGTAGTGCTTTCTCAATTTCAACTCTTATGAACAAGTAAAACATCCTGTAAGCGCTGGTCACATCTAGCTAAACTAGGCACGGCAAAACGGGATGGGTGCCTATCAGTCATCACGTTGTTGTTGTTGGCCTAGAGCACCCTGCCGTCCATCCCGTCAAGAAGACCGGACCACATCCCTTTCACCGGCGGCAGCTGCGCCACGAACGCTTGCCACGGTGGGTACCCCACGCCGCTGCCGCGGACGCGCCCGTCCATCCGGAGGGAGAGGTACCTGCAACGCATCGTCGACATCCAATGGTAAGATAACAAGAAACGAAGAACAGACCATTCATCATTGCGACATGATAATACTGAAATCTTCTTCTTCTTAACCAATCGGCTTGGTGCTCATTTCGAATCGAGAAGAGTTTAAAATTTTTACAAGAAACTAGACAAAATTGAAATCTTCAGAACAATGACGTTGGGAAACCAGGCGAGTTTCGCGAGGTGCTTACACTGGGGAATCAGATGGCACGCCGGCCAGCTTCTTCTGATCGTCTAACCATCTGCATCAGATGCATGAAAGTGGCGATCAACGCGAGACTAATCAAGGTTATAGATGGACAAAGGTGTTATAAGCTGAGCATGTTGAATTAATTTCGTACTGCGCCCATTCAGTTGTGTACACCGGCGTGAGCTGCCACAGCCTCTTGCTCCTCCGGGCAACGTCGTCGTCGTCGTCGTCGACGACGCCGTCCTCGTCGCCGCCGTCGAGCTGCAGCTCGGGCGTGTTCCCGTCCGTGGCGAAGGGCACCGCCAGCACGGCCCTCTCCGCGAGCTCCCTCAGCAACGGCTGGCTCCTGCGGAACGACTCGGCGACGAACTCCGCGGGGCCCGCCACGATGACGAGCCGCGCGGTGCCCCGCAGCTCGCTGAGCGTGAACGGCCTGCCGGCGCCGACGCGGAGCCTGAGCCTGGACAGGCGCTCCTCCCGCGCGAGCCTGGCCACCTGGGCGTCCTTGGCCTTGCTCTCGCGCGAGTAGAGGAAGGCGAAGAGCGAGACGGCCGCGACGTCGATGCCCAGGCCCTTGAGCGTGTCGGCCGCGCCCGCCGCCCTCGCGGGGTCGGACGACAGCGCCGGGAGGAGCCGCGCTAGCGCGATGAGCCCCCCCAGCGTGCCGCTGGCCATGAACGCGAGGTAGAAGAACATCCGCACCGACCGGAACGGGGAGAGGACCTCACTCCGTATCTTCGCCATGGAGCTGCGACGACACGCATGAGCCGGCCGGTTCACCGGACGATATAATAAGGACTCCAAACACAGACTCCAGAGCCGAGATTTGCTAGGCACAGAGTAGAAACAAGCTGGTGGTGGCGGCGGCTACCTTACCTCGCTGCTGTCCGGAGTGGTGGGGGGAGGAGGGGAGGGCTTGTTTGCGGCGGAGCAGCGGACGCCGGCGCGGCATGCTCTGCTACAGGAGAGTGCTGGCTTGCGGGAAACTCGCCGGGAGATGGGAAGAGGGGCGCGTAGCCGTAGGGCGTAGGGGACGGGGACGGGGACGGGAAGGGTCGCCGCCATCTCGGGACGGCAGGCTTGCGTGCTTGCCTGCCTGCGGAGTGCAGGGCAGACTAGAGCTCTTGTCCGCGTCTCGCTAGAGGATGGTGGGCCGCGTCTAACCGCTACTTGGTTTGTGGCGGCAACGGAAACAGCGAGGACGAGCCTTGGCCTTACGATCCACCCCTGTGCACCCGCACTTGTTCCATGGAGCTAACCTACTCAAGTTCCTCCTATGCCTGCTATTCAGAGATAAAAGTTTCTAGGACTGTCTGCGTATCTCTTGACACATTTGTGTTGCAAAAATCTGTCGTTTTCTTTGACACAGAATTACTCCTTGATGACACACGTGTACACACG